TGATGACACCTTGGTTCCTTGGCTTGTGCTATAGCCCCATTGTTGTCACAATATAAAATAAAGGGCGACTCAATACTTGGAACCACTCCAAGTTCAGTAATGAACTTCTTCATCCAAATAGCTTCTGATGTAGCTATATACTCTACTTTAGTTGTGAAGTCCGCAATAGTGCTCTAATTGGAACATCTCCAATTGATTTCCCTATGTTCAATGTGAACATATACTCAGAAGTGGATTTCTAGTCATCATCATCAAATTCAAAATATGAGTCTGTGTATCATTTCACTAGCAACTCTGAGCTCTCTTCATAGACTAGGAACATGTCCTTGGTCCTTTTGAGCTACTTTACATAGCCTTCATAACAATCCAGTGTTCTGAACCTGGATTTGATTGATATCTGCTTGTGATGCTCACAATATAGCTGATATTAGGCCTTGTGCACAGCATGGCATACATTAGACTCCCAATTGGAGAGGCATATGGGATGTTGCTCATCTGCTTCACTTCCTTTGGGGTTTTAGGACTCATACTTTTACATAGGTGGATATCATGTCTAACTGGTAAATAACCCTTCTTGGATTGTTCCATACGGAACCTTACAAGCACCTTATCCACATATAGGGATTGAGATAATCCAATTAGCCTTCTTGATCTATCCCTATAAATCTTGATACCTAATATGTAAGATGCATCACTTGTATCCTTCATTAAGAAGGTCTTTGATAACCATAGTTTCACTATGGTCAACATGCTTATGTCGTTTCCAAACATTAATATGTCATCTACGTATAGAACGAGGAATACGACTACGCTCGTACTGGTCTTCTTGTATACACACGGTCCATCTCCGTTTTGATCAAAACAAAAGTTTTAACTGCTTCATCAAAACAAATATCCCAACTCCTTGAAGCTTGCTTCAATCCATGGATTGACCTTTGAAGCTTGCATACTTACCCTTTTTCATTTTTAGATTGAAGCCTTCAGGTTGATCCATGTAGATCTTTTTGTAAAGATGGCTATTCAGAAAAGCCGCCTTCACATCCATCAGCCATATTTTGTGAAGGTAGCCATTGAGAGTCTTAATAAACACCTTTAAGTCATGTCTTCTTCAACATAATGGTATAGTAATTTCAAAGACAAACAACATAGTCACAAGACATCTATGTTGTCTCAGGTCTAAGGATACCATTGCAATATATGAGTTCTATTTTAACATGTGAGTAAAAACTTTCATTCTAGAACTCATGTATTTGATCACGTTCAGTGTATTTGTTCTCCTGCAAGCACCTAAATACATATCTTGTTGTCGCCACACTCAATGACTTGAGACCTCATCATTCTCTATATATAGAGAAGATATTGTGTGTACTAGTCTTAGCGGAATATCATTGCTCAATTGATACTCCTATGACTAGGAACATATTTAGGATTACGGATCATGACAAGTCTCGATGTATGCAATCTCAATACATAGTTCTCATGTCTATATATATTCTCCTAGGACTATAGTTATTTTGTATTTCATAAGATAATATATAATCATGAATTAAAACAACTGGTCTTGCCTGTAAATAACTTAATAAGTCATTACAAAAGATGTCATTAACATTAACTATTGCATAAATAGTTGGCTTTAAGGGCATATATCTAACATAATTGTTTTGACGAATGTCATCCACATCGGGTAAATTCTGTCTCCTAGATAATACCCTCCCAAATAGATGGTATTATTGATTTGATATGTGATCTGAGGGAAGGTCCTCTCAATACATCTTTGAACACCAGAGATTGACCAAACACATTAAGGTCGTTTTGAGATCCCGTGACTCCGGAAAGGCATGCTAAACCCAGGTATCAAATGATGCAACAACCTCAAGAATTATACTTTTTTGGTTCTATTCCCATAATCTCTTTGCCAGACAGTTGAACAATTCTTTCACTACCAGTGCATGCAACCGATGCTTTCAATCATGCCTGGGAAACCTCGAGCCTCAGCTTTTTGCAGAAGCCTTTGGAGGTCTCTAGGCTTAAGTTTGCAGAGGTAATCTCTCATGTAAAGAGTTTTGATTGCCTCACAGATTCTAACTAAGCACTCTAGGATAGTGGATTTCCCCATCCTAGTAATCTCATCCACTTGGTCTGTAGATGCGTCATACGCAAGCATCCGTAAGGAAGTTGTAAGTTTTTGTTCCGGAAGAATACCCAAAACCCCAGCAGCATTGCACTTCTAAACTAAGTATGAGTTGTAATTGCAAACATCATGCATGATTTTACTGAACAAATGGGGCTACATTCTATATCACCCTTGAAAATCAACACTAGAGTACAACGAATTTAGGATAAAGTAATCTTCTAAGAGATTCTCATCTCGAGAGTGCCTACATATGTCCACGTTAATTGAGCATACCCTTCACTAAAACAACTAGATTATTATGTGCTTCCCACTCCATTTCTTCTTTAGCATGTTTGTGCATTCTTTCTTCATTTTCTTGCTCGGCTCTCTCCAACAACCTCCTCGTGTAAGACATCGAAAGTAGAATGTGTTTTATAAAATTTGATAAATGAAAGGATAGAGAGGATATAGATGATTGGTGTGAGTTGAAGGTGTGGTTTTATAATAAGATTTAGATGATAAAGATGACACATGGCACAATAATAGCAACCGAAAATCTTATCCGAAATCTGAGATGTGAATTTTATAATAAATATGGACACGTGGCAAATGAAAATCTTATTCGAATATTTTATCCAAAATTTGATATGTGAATTTTATAATAAATATGGACACGTGGCAACCGAAAACCTTATCATAATATTTTATTCGAAATCTGAGATGTGCATTTTATAATAAATATGGACATGTGGCTATATTTTCTTGTAGTAGACTATTTGGATGTGCTTGTAATAGACTATTTGTTTGGATAAGTAGTAGTTATTTTATTTGATCTTCCAACTTTTTTTCTTAATTATATATATGCAAATTATATTTTCTATATTGGCTACAAGAATGGAGAGTGGACAGTCTAGTTAATCAAAAGGAAGTAGAAGGGTGTGGAAAGCACATGAGGAAGAAGCATTGTTGACCATACTTGAGGATGTAGTCAACTGTGGTTTACGATGTGATAATGGTTTCTTTAAATCTGGAACAATGATCCAAATTGAAAATTCATTAGCTGAGAAATTTCCCAATACTGATTTAAGGGTAGTCCCACATATTGAGTCCAAGATGAGGTTTTGGAAAAAATTGCATGGGATAATATTTGACATGATTAACAAAAGTGGTTTTGCTTGGAATGATTTTTTGAAATGCATTGAGGTTGATAGTGATGAAGCATGGAACACTTATGTACAGATTAGTACATCTGTTAAGTAATATGTAATTCTTATATTTGTTATACTTACAATTTATTTATAATTTTTCCATTTTGATGCAGCATAACAAGGATGCTGATGGTTGGAGGGGGAAACAATGCCTAATATATGATAGGTTGAAGAATATATTTGGGAAGGACCAAGCAACTAGTCGAGGGTTTGCAACTCCCATTGAAATGATGAATGAGCCTGTGCATAACAATGATGTCGATGATGATAATGAGGAAGTTGAGGTTGAACCATATCAGTCTACCTCTTTGCCAAGATCAAATCAACAGAACTCAACTGGCTCAACAATCGAAACCGCAAACGAAATGCAGATACTGATATTCAAAAGGAAATGGCTAAAGCATTTGGTGAGATGATTTTTGAGTCTGTTGACCAATTGAAAACTATAATTAATAGTTTGATGAAAGGATCAAACCAAGTTCTGGCATTGCTGCTGAATTGGCAAAGATGCACTTGGCTATTATTGACCAAATTAAGGCACTAAGACTAATTTTGGAGAAAGCAAGTGATGAGAGAACATTCCTGACATTAGGGGTGGCATCGGTATTGGAAAACCGGAACACCGAATGAGATCGGATGGAAAAAACCAGAAAGAAATCGGTTGACTAAAAAAGTCAACAAATTGACACAGGACTGGACTAGACCGGTTCCAACCGGTTTTGATTACAGTTTTACACCTCACGAAACCGGACCAAACTAGACCAGACCGGTTGTGTATAATTTTTTTTTTTTTACAAAATTATTTAACTCTAATGCTACGTTTTTAATCTTATAACTAATATTTCCCCAAGCCCAACTTTAAAACATCTCTCTTTTTTAGGCTATATATCTCTCTTTCTATGAAATTGGATCAATTGTTAATTTTCAAGCCCAAAAAATTAAATTTTAGTTTGAATTTGTATAAAAAAAAGTTTCAAAATATAGAAATAAAAATTCGGTTAATTTTTTTTTCTTTTCACTAAAACTAAACCGGTTAAATAATACCGGTTTTGATTCCGAATTGAGGTGAAAATCGGATCCCATCCACCCTTACTTGATATTGGATGGTGCTACGAGAAAAAAATTTGTTCTTCTTTTACTTGGGCGAAGGAGCTGTGATTAACTCTTTGATGTAGTTTAGTTTATGAACAACTTTTCCTTTTGCTCTTATCACCTTAGTATGTGATCACTTTGAATTATACATTATTTAGTAATGTTTTTCTTAATGTATGCAAGTATGTTGGAATTTTTATGAGATAGTACAATTATGATAATGGGTTATATGAAAAAAAAATTCTTGGCAAAAACAATTGAAAAACAAATCTTGTCATATGAATCTTAACAAATTTTTTTGTGTGTCATTTGATTTTCAATTTCCACTTAAATTATCAAAGAATTTTTTTTTAAAAATAGTTTGATCTGATGTTATTCGGAACATCACCAAACACAGTATAACTTAGTCAGACTATTTATCCGGAACAACACAAAACACCTTATAATATTATGAATAAACTGTCAGTACTCTTCGGAACATATTAATATTACCTAACATAAATTAGTCAATCCAACTTACCAAACAAGCCACACTACAGAATTTCGCCAGTAAGATTCGTCAACAGTTTTTAGCCCAAACGTAATTCATCTAGCAGTGCCCCTCAAGCCCAGGCGTCTCTTCTTTAGGGCTAAAATTCATAGCCCAACTCAATCCTATATGTGCCTTTGAGACATTCCAAAAACTGCTCTCCAAATCCCAGAGTAAACTTCTCTCTAGTCAAGTTCAACTCCCCGTAAAGAGAAACTCAAGAAACCTGCGTTATCGACAGAATCCACTTCAACCCACTCTTTCTTCACCATTTCAAAATTTCCACCTCCAAATCACATTTGAACCCTTTTGAAACTCTGGTTTAATCAAATCCAGTCTCTCTCTCTTCCCCAAGCCATGGACAACCTCCAAGGCTACAGAGACGAAGACGACGAAGAAGACGAAGAATCGAAACCCACCACCACCGCCACCCCCACAATCACAACAACCGAACAACCCATTGAACCAAGAGAAGCCATTGACCCAAGCGAACCCACCACCGACGAGCCCGACGCCGACCCCATTAACCCACAATCCAACGACCTGCAAAACGGCAACAAAACCGAAACTGAAGCCTCCGAAGACCTCTCCGAGTCCCTGAAATCCCAAGAAAACGACAACGACAATGAAAACGACAACGACGACGAAGACCCACCTCCCAAGAAGCAGAAGCAGCTCTCTTCCCTCACGATCCAGCTCTCTTCAGACCAAGATCAAACCCCATTGCCCCAACCCAGCTCCAACGGAGTCGCCCTCCCGGCCCCAACCGCCCCGAATTCCAAGAAATCGAAGAAGAAGAACAACAATGTATGGGTCACCAAGTCGACCCGAAAGGGGAAAAAGAAGAGCAAGGCCAATAACAACAACAACCACAATGCCCCTGCAGACGACACCGTTTTGATCACTCCGGTGACGCGGTTCCCGGATAAAACCGACGACACCCCGGACATGACAATCTGCCTTTCCAAGGTCTACAAGGCAGAAAAAGTCGAGGTGAGTGAGGACAGAATGAGTGCTGGCAGTACAAAAGGGTATAGAATGGTTAGGGCCACTAGGGGAGTTGTTGAAGGTGCTTGGTATTTTGAAATAAAGGTGGTGAATTTGGGGGAGAGTGGGCACACTAGGCTGGGTTGGTCCACTGAGAAAGGGGACTTGCAGGCGCCAGTTGGGTATGATGGGAATAGTTTTGGGTATAGGGACATTGATGGGAGTAAGGTGCATAAGGCTTTGAGGGAGAAGTATGGTGAGGAAGGGTATAAGGAAGGTGATGTTATTGGGTTTTATATAAATTTGCCGGATGGGGGTTCGTATGCCCCGAAACCGCCTCACTTAGTTTGGTATAAGGGGCAGCGGTATGCTTGCGCCCCTGACACGAAGGAGGATCCTCCTAAAGTTGTGCCTGGTGAGTGGTTGTTTGGTTTGTGTAATGTTTATGTTTTTCAAGTGTTTAGTTTCATTGCTTTCGTGGTTGTAATTGTGTTTGGTGTGAAATTTATTGTAGTTTCATTGTGTTTCTTGAATCTACATTCTTGTTTCATTGTATGAATATGGATATGAATATGCTTGCACAATTCAACCACTATGGCGCTATTTCTCTGTGAATATGGATATGAAATGCTGGCAGGCATTGTGAATGTGTTAAACTGAACAGCTGTTTGTTTGATAGGAAACAGAATGAAAGTCTTTTTTTCTGAGAGGTACAATCAAAGTGGACCAGTCGTCAATAGAAGATAGACCTCACTCAACATAGGATAAAACATTCTTTAACTTAAAGAGAGACCTATTAACATCTATTCAAACAAAAACATAATCAAAACAACTGAAGAGCTATTCAACCGAGGCTTGTAGAGGCCGAAAGGACAATGCTTTCACTTGAAGTCTTTATTACATCTCTATTTCAGAATGACCTTTCTAGCCATATACCTGCAATTCTGAATTCTATTAACATCTCATGGGTATCTAAATTCAGGGGAACACATTAGCCAAGAGAATGCACAGAAATTCTGAGTTTGTTTTACTTTGTGAGATAGACTATATAAGTTTATAGCAAAGATTGAGAAATGTGATTGTAAAGAAATTCATGAGAGAGAATTTATAGATTCATGTGCTTGTGAAGAAGAAAGAGAGAGAAGCCTCTACATATTGGGAGAAGTGATCTTAGTGCATTTTGGCATCCGGCCAGTCTTCTGAAGGTGATGAAATTATTTCTCATATATCAATATTTAGCTAAGAAGCATGGATACGCCAATTTAGTGGCGTATCCCGTATCGGATACTTGTTTGGATACGATACGCTTCGGATACGGTCCGATACGCATTGGATACGTATCGCAGTCAACGGATACGTCAGTTGACTAACGGATACGAGTATCCGACATTCCAGACACGAGTATCTGACTTTTTAGATACGAACCTCCGGGCGAAGTTTGCCGTTGAGGGGCTGTTGAGGAGCCCCTGGGCGCTGCGTGTGAAGAGGGAGGGAGGGAGGGAGGGAGGGAGAGAGAGAGAGAAGAAGAAGAAGATGTCAGACTGGAGGGGGAGAGAGAGGGAGAGAGACAGAGAGACAGAGAGGGAGAGAAGAAGAAGATGTCAGACTGATCTCAAGTGACGACGTCGTTTGCTAAAATATATTTTAGGTTATCTATATTTATTAATATATGTTAATATATATTTTTAATAACCGTATCCATGACGTATCGTATCCTAGTTTTTGGAAATTTACCGTATCCCCGTGTCGTGTCGTATCGTATCGCCGTATCCGTATCCGTGTCCGTGCTTCTTAGCTAAGGGGAAAATTTGTTAATAAGGAATTTGGATCTTGAATTTCAACAATTGACTCTGCAGATGTGGGGTTGAACTGCAATGCATGAATCTACCCCCTTTAGAGTTGGGAGTTTTGACTAAGCGGTATTATAGGCTTTGAGAGTCTCCACTACATTAGGATTATTTTAAGTTTATAAGATACTTACAAACCATGCAGGCATTGACTCTTGGGATGTGCAATCCAGTTACAATATAATTAGAATAGTGAAGGACATATTCTACTTGAATGACACAGGATATTAATCTTTGTGTAAGACAGGACATTGAGTTTTTGCATCCAGGCTGCCATAGTCTGAGTCCAGGTGAAAAAACATGATTGGACTTCAGTTCTACCATTTAATGACAATTGAAAAGCTTCAGCTATTATGAAGTTGAAGATATCTGTATTCTGTATTTTCTTTTCCAAGATTAAAACTAGGGAATTTGAGTGGGGTTTTCCTACCCCCATTTCAAAACCACCGCTTATTATCTATCCTGTGTTTATCAACTAAATGCCGGCCTCTATTGTGTGCAAAAAATTCAATTGTTTTGTATCTGAGAGCACGGTTGATTAATGGCTTTGATGGTTGAAAAATGCTTCCTTTTCACCAACTTGTTAATTAATTTTTTTTCTCGAGATTATAAGTACAGAATTTTGATAGGGTGTTTCCAACCAATTCCATTACAAGTCCTACTTATTTTGGTTTATCAACTCATTGGTAGCCTTATATTGTGTGCAATAGTATAATTGCTTTTGGATATATCATACCACATGTACATTTCATTTGGGAGCATCTTTGACTTACTGGGTTTGTCGTAATTCAAAATGCTGCCTCTTCCGCGCTGCCTCTTGCATCATCTTGCTATTTAATTGTTGCCTTTTCAGGGTTCTATGAGCATTTGTTGAACTTCTGTTCAACTAAAATAATGCTTATATTCTCATTCTATAAAGTTAGATTGCTAAGGTATAATAACCTATGTTTTGTTGGAAGGGTAACATTGGAGTGATTATTGATTTGTTGTGCAGGAAGTGAGATATCCTTCTTCAAAAACGGGGTATGCCAAGGAGTTGCTTTTAAGGATCTATATGGTGGCCGTTACTATCCTGCTGCTTCAATGTATACCCTTCCCCATCAACCAAATTGCGTGGTCAAGTTCAACTTTGGTCCTGAATTTGAATTCTTTCCAGAAGAGTTTGGTGGACGTTCAGTGCCCCAGCCCATGGTTGAAGTTCCTTATCATGCATTTGAAAACCGAGTTGAAAATGGAGTCTCCGATGAGAAGAAACAATAGCCAGCAAGCAGCCCAATTCATCCATATTATTAAGTGTTCTGGAGTTGCCTAAAGCCAACAAAAAACAAGAAAAGGAAACCTTCATGGATTTGGGAGAATGATATGAGTTTAACTTCCCTTTGTAATTTTGATTGTGCTAAAAGTATAATTAAAAATGAATTGACAAACACTGTATTCTTGGCCTTTATCTGACAAGTTCTGATGGAAAATATAATGATATTGCATGGCCTGATATTGTCCTGATTATTCTGAGTGATAAATATCTCTGGTTCTTTGTGCTTGTGCATTTGTCTCATGTAAGTTCATTATAATTACTGTTATTAAGCTTTAGATTCTAGATGCTATTGCGTTGGTTGAATGGATACACTTATTTCCAGATTCTCAAGGGCTTAGCTACCTGTTTCAGAATTATGCCTTGTCTATGGTTTTTTGTTATTATTTTATTTCTTTGCTTTCTGTTTAGGAATTTTACTTTCTTCCAACTTTAACTTTACTGTTGTAGTACCTAGCACATTTCCTAGAATGCTCCATCTCAGATTTTCTGCTTCTGTTCTGAACTTGGGATTGGTTAGTGCCAGTCACTGATCCTTTTTGGTTGACAAGAGATGCGTTCTTGAACGTCCTCATATTTTTCTCTTCTGGTCCTGGGGAGCTAAACTGGAAGCGCATGCGTCAATGTGACCTCTCTCTCTGTGTGTCTCTCTCTCACGCACGCGCACACACACAGACACACTTGCGCGTGTGCGCACACACACACGCACACCTGGACAGACATTCTTTAAAGTCAATTATGCCAATTATATGAAACAATTTGCAACAATTATGTACTGCTCAAAGCACATAGAGTTGTTGAGCGTTAAGGTAATCATAACTTATAATGACTCTTGTCCTTCTTTTTTTGTTTTTGGCCATAGCATATTGTGGTGTCTTTTTATTATTGTAGTTTAGATCTTAGCAGGGGTGGTTTCTTTTGTGGCTAACTTATTATCTAATTGGAAATTTCCTCTTGTGACAGGAGGTTCGTATCTCGTTGGCCCATGAGCACTTTGTTAGAATTGGTAGACTTCAACTGTATTGTAGAGGCAACTAAAATGATGGATTAGATCCTATGATAAATCTCTGTTTGGTCATATTGCTTTTGGAATGAAATCTTGCTTTCTTTTCTAGTCTTTCATGTTGTTGTGGATATTAATGTTAGGTAGATTAACGGCTTGCACTTCGCCACATGAGAATTGCAATGGTTTTTCTTGGCATGACCAGTTCCAAAGGTACACTGAGGGTTATGTCTAGACTAATAATGATTTGAGAATGACCTGGGACCCTTTTTCTTTTTCTGTATCTATTGTTAATCTTTTGACCACTCAAAATAGGTTATTGCATAACAAATATTGAACAAATATATAAATTCTAGGGGTTTTCAATATGATGGCTTATGTAAAAGGGTTACACCTAACATTTTGTTGTTGAATACTAGGTTGGCATATTTCATGACATTATGTTTGTATTGTGCTTAAATGAAGACATCACGAATAGGAGATTCGAGAAGGCGCAACAATGAAGACAGCCTATGGGGTTACTTGAAGACTCAGGAGCTTCAAAACTAGAGGTAGAGTCGATACATGAGATTTGCGGGGCTTCATCTAGTTCTTCAGGTAGTCTAGGTTAGAGTTAGGAGATGAGATCATGCTTTAGTTTCCTGACTTTAGGCTTAGACAACCCATGATCAACTTATATGGGAGGCAGCCCTACCACATTTCTACAAAACTAATTTTGATGGATCACATAATGTGAAGTGGTGGACAAGCTTGGGTGTGGTGATGCACAAGAGGATGGTGATGAGCTTTTGGTAGCCATGGTGTGGAAAATTTCTTGAAATCTTACACCAAAAACTACAGACCTTATAGGTGTCACGTAATATCAGGATTGCGTTTAGCTCTGGATATTTATTCCATTTATCTATTCTTGAAACAGATGCAAAAGAAGTCACGTACATTTGCTACAGAACAGAGAGGAATATTTAGTGGCTAGGTTTTCTGGAATCATATTGATCACGCTTAGCTAAAATTGCTGCCCATTATATCAAAAGATTTACACTTTATTTCTCTGAATCTAGGATTTGGGTTGAAGAGCCTCCTTGGCTATCTTCAACTAAATAAACAGGAAGGGAGACGTATTTTAGGTTTTCTCGGTCATTTTCTAAGAATGGTTTGTGACAAGCACATCCTAAGTTTTACGATTGGTGATCCAGTTGCCTTTCAGGTCCTTGTATGCTGCATCTCTATTTGAATTATGTGGCGCTTAAAGTCTCTGTAACCCTGGCAAGTTGATCTTGATTTAGGGGCTAGTTGGAGAAAAAGAAATGATGAAGGTGAAGAGCAAAAAGGGGGACAAGAGGGGACAACTTATCACTTGCTACAATCCAATATATATATATATATATATATATATATATATCATTCAGTTTTCTCGATGGATTCTTGTCTTGCTCAGATCTCGTCTCTGTTCTTTGCTTGGATCTCTTCTTGATTCTCGTCTCACTATCTTGCTGACCAATTTTTTTTCTTAAAACTCTTAAGCATGCTTTCAGCTCTATTAACAGAAAGGGGGGAGTACTGATATTTACTCTCCAGCTTTAGGGGAGTGTCCTGAGTGTAGGCTGCTAATCAGTGCATTCCCTAAATTAAGAGATCTGATTTCTTATAATTAGAAATTTTCCCAGACACAAATGCATAATCCAATTATGTATTTTATCCAAAAGTATTTTGAATCATCCTGATCTCATTAAGTTTAACTGTGAAGAACATGGTTGGTCTTGAAACTCGAAAGTACGTAGATATTTCTGTTTTTAGGCTGATTTGCGTACTATTGGAGCATAGAAGGATTATGTTAAACCATATTAGTGCACGGTTGAGCCATACAAGTCTTGTGTTTTATTGTTGTTCTCATGTTATGCCTTTTCAAAGTTTTGTACATGTATGCTTTACTTAAATTTAGCTTTAATTGATTGTAATTTGTAATCACCATGAAATTCGCTTGATTTTGGAACCATTGTCCTTAGTTTAGTTGATTTTGCCTTGCAAGTTAGTTGATTTTGCCTTGCAAGTTCTGTGTATACCTCCAATGGAGATGAACAAAAATCATCCAGTTCTCAAGTAGTCTCCTGGACCACATTTTGAATTTACAGAGAGTCATGCAGATCGGGACACTGCCTCTCTACTTTCATTATTTATCTCTAATTTGAGATTAACAACTTGGCCCCTTTCATTATTATCGGCTCTTGAGGTGTCCTTCGATGGAGATAAATATAATTGTCCAATTCTGAATCTTTACAACATGATGTTTACTGTTTGTTGAAGTTCTGTGTGCACAGAGGAGAAGCATCTATGCCACTATCAGTGGGGGTTGCCCGGGTGGGTGAGAAACTATTATGAAATGCCTACTTATCAAAAGCCGTGTTTGCATTTACAGTTAAAGCTTCATACTTCAAATCTATTCATTTGCTAAGTTATCATTTTAATTTTGGAAATTTGTCCATCCTGAGCAGTTCTGAAATGTTAGAAATCTTTAATTGGCACCTTGTAAGTCCCATGCTTCCTCATGTCAAACATTTATTCCATTGAGATTATGATGATAAAACTTTTACTGCTCTTGTTTTGTTATGCTGCATAGGGCTCAGTGTCCCTAATACTCTCTCTCTCTCTCTCTCTCTCTCTCTCTCATGCACCATATCAGAGTGCAGAATAATGCAAGGAAATTACATAGTTGATGGAAGCTGTATTTGCAAGATTTGCTGGAAAAAAAAAAACTGTGGGGTGTTTCTATTGTTGCTTCTAGTGCAGTGGAGAGTTGAGGCCCTCTTGAAAAGCCAGAGGGTGGAGAGGTTGGTGCCTCTTGGAAGGAAAAGGAGCTTCTTTCCTGAATGAAGGCCGCTTCTTGAGATGCTTCAGAGTATGCTTGGCATAATATGTCCAGAAATAAGGCGAAGCTCTCTCTTTGAGCTTAAGGATGATGAAAAAGATGATTCTGAAAGATACAAGAATGGCAACAACAGCAGCCAAGTCCCACCACTTCGAGTGATCCAGATTAATTCCTGCAATTGTTGTAAGGATATACTCGCCTTTCAGCTTTGGGCCATTTGGTTCACGAGAATCAAATTCTCGGCCAACCAATGTGTTCTTGTACTCTCCCTGCATAAGCCAGTATAACAGTGGTAAGTTCAAATTGTTAAAAGTGATTGTGTGTTCCTCATAGGACATTTTTTGGCTGATATATATGTAGAGTTGTTACCAAAGCTAGCAAAAGTTTACCCTTTCTTTTCAACAATGACAGCTTTAAGAAACTTCTCAAGAACTCCGGTTTGGAATTCTTAGGCACAACCGGTCGTAGCAAGAAAAATTCTTAGCATGGTGCCGATTTCTGCACCCAAATTTTTGACAATTCTTGGGAAGTAACAAAAACTGGTATTCTTGCAAAGAAGGGTAAACTTTTGCTAGTTAAAAACTAAAATATGTTTTGCCTGGTACCTGTAATGCCCATGCACCATAATTTAGGTATGAAATTGGATACCGCCAAACCGGTTTGGGAATGTCAGGAGGCAAGCGGAAGAATCCGGCAGTCATCATCATGATTCCCTTAATAAGCATGGTAGTTAGTGATAAATAGAACCTTAAGTAAACTTAGATGAAGATGAATGAGAGAAGCTCTGCGAAAATTATAATCAGTTGTTCTTACTAAGTATCCTGCTCCAACTATTACTCCCATCAAGTAGTTGGGAACAAGAGAAGCTATAATCATCATGGAGCTCTCTACTGCTGCAATGGCACTGAGAAGATCGAGGCACATGAATACGAAACGAGGAAATTGAGAATGAAATTCCACCATGTAGTAAGTTATACTGGCAGTTGCAATCGACATCACAGCCAAGAATGGGAAAGAAGAGAGGAAATTTGACAAAATGAACACAGCAATCCCATAATGCCCATTGAGCCTTTCTTTATGAAAAACCTGTTATACAGAACAAAAACTCTGAGTTTCGAATTTCAATCTAATTTTAAAATCAGTTATTTTCATGCTCACAAAAACCGAGTAGTGATTTTTACTTTCATTTCTTCAAGGAAGGATGGGAAGCCTCCAATGGACAGGAAAGTCATGAAACCAGAAATGAATCCAGCACAAGCTCCTCTTGCCAATATTGAATTGAGATCTGTTCCCAGATTGAAGAATATCGTACCAACGCAGACAGATAACAGCAGATAGATGATGATTCTTACCCAGTAATACCCCATGTCCCTTGACATATTCAGAAAAGATCTCTTTGTTAATGTTGAAAGTTGCTTCCACCATGTTGCTTGGCTCCCACTCCTTTTTTCTATCATGGGTCCTTCCTGTAAAACAAGTTTTTGACTTTTGTAAATAAAATTTACACAAAATTGATCTTCCCTTAAGTGACAGAAAGTCTCATGTAAAGTTCAAAACCTAAACTATCCTTACATCCTTACCATGGATGAGATCTCTCGGATCCTAGCCCTCGTCCTTGTTACATATTCAGAGCTCTTGTACTTCTCAACAAGCATTGCTTTTATCTCTGCTGTTGCTAAATTCATTAAAGGATCTGATGATTTTGGGATGTCCTGTATTTGAAAACAAAGAAGGTATATTATCAAGTGAATACCAAGGCTTCAATTATTGCAAGATGGTAGATAAAAGAGGAGATTGGACATAAATTTATGAGCTAGAACCATGTTCAGTACAAAAAGATAATCAATTATAATGGAAGAGCAATTAAGCAAAACATATGTACACGTATAGTTATACAACCTACGTACACGAATTCTTTGAGAGTCATTCATTGTTACTCTGTCGAAGTCCGAATTGATACAACGAAGAAAGTGATCAGAAGGGTTTCTTCGACTTGGACATGGAACTCCTGCTCTGGCAAAGAACTGTAATTTTTTTTTATAAAAAGAATCAGCACAACTAGCTTCAAACTCTCTCTAAAACTTGGAAACTTTGACACTTTCATATTAGTATACTTGTGCATAAAGTAAGCTATGCGTTCCAAAAGAATTTTGCCATTGAAATCTTTATATGTTTGTTAATTGTTTGATATATTGTTGTTGTACCTCTAGAGCCATATTTGCTTGTCCAGAAAAAATTGTTAAACCACCAGAAAGCAGAACAAGATCATCAAAGAGAGCAAAGACTTCACTGCTGGGCTGATGAATGGAGGTGATTACAGTTCTGCCATCAAGAGCAATACATCTGAGAGTTTGAACAACAAAGAAAGCTGAGGCACTGTCAAGGCCACTTGTAGGCTCATCCAAAAACAACAGTTTGGGCTTTGTAAGAATTTCAAGGGCAATGCTCAGTCTCTTCTTCTCCCCACCACTTATGCCTCTCAAATGCCAATTTCCAATTAGCCTGTCAGCACAATCGCGCAGACCCATTTCTGTAATTGTTGCATCCACAATGCCATTTACCTCTTCTTTGGTCAAAATAGTTGGAAGCCTCAAATGAGCTGAGTAAGTTATGGTTTCTTTTACTGTTAGGGTTCCCAATAGTGTATTCTCTTGGGTCACATAAGCCTGAAATTTTACATTGAGGGGTGGTAGAAAATTTAATTCATATTAAATGTGCACATTAATATGTATTGCTAGAGACTGACATTATGTGCATGTTAAATGTTGTACAATATGAAAAACACTACTTACAGCAACACCATAATCCAGTCTCTTCTTCTTTCCATTCACGAGTACATTTCCAGTCATGACAACATTTCTTGAAAGTCTACCTGTCAAGTTGCAAAAATTCAAGTTTTATGAACTATAAAATTTAACATTAGCAAGACATTTTGGATTTAAAAAAAAAAAAAAAAAACAAACAATAGTAAGACATTACCAATGCAGATTTTTATTTTTTTGGGGCAACTACCATTATAGATTTTAACCCTAAATCCCAATTCCACGTAGAATTTAACATTTCGGTTGGAGTGAATCTCTACTATTTTTTCTACATGCTAAAAATGCGACCTTAAATTTAGCATCTCCAAGATGCTCTTATGACATGCTCGCTAAAATATGAAACCTAATATGAGAATATTTGTTTGTGGGAATTTTCTGTGTATTCTTTTCCTTGTAGGAGGTCATATTTATTATACAAAGGAACTTTAATGGGCAAGTAAATAATAAATTAATATTTCTATTTACAGTAGGAAATCAGGAATTAAAGTAAATCAATTACAATTATAATAGGAATTCTTTGTGTGAAAGGAAAATAAGTCAATGGCCCACAAGTCATGCCAACACTCCTTCTCACGTTGGTGCATAGATGTCGCCAATGCCCAACAGATCCAGTGAATTGTGGAATGCTTTACTGGAAATCGCATTTGTCAAAATATCTGCGAATTGATTCTCTTACTTTACGAAAGGAAACTGAATCACTTTAGCTTCGAGCTTTTGTTTGATATAGTGTCGATCTACCTCAACATGTTTGGTGTGATCATGTTGAACTGGATTATGTGCAATAGCTATTGCAGCCTTGTTGTCACAAAAAAGATTCATTACAGATGTAGGTCTATACCAAGTTCAGTAAGCAACCTCTTTAACCAAATGAGTTTGCAAATTCCTTTAGTCATACCTCTGAACTCGATTTCTGCACTAGATAAGGTGACCATCTTCTGTTTCTTGGTCCTCCATGTAATCAAATTACCTCTCACAAATGTGAAGTAACTGAATATGGATTTCCTATTTGTTATACTTCCTGCCCAATCTGCATCTGTGTAACCATCAATATTCAGATGACCATGTTTTGAGAACATAAATCATTTTCCAGGTGCAGACTTCAAATATCTAAGTATCTAAAAAACTGCATTCATATGGTCTTCACTTAGAGAATGCATAAATTGACTAGGCTCACAGCATAAGCAATATCAGGCCGCGTATGAGACATCAATCTTCTCACTAACCTTTGATATCTTTCTTTGTTAGTTGGAACTTGATTTGGGTATTCTCCAATATGATGATTCTGAATAATAGGAGTGTTTACAGGTTTGCAATCTAGCATTCTTATGTCTGTCAACAAGTCCAAGACATATTTTCTTTGAGAGAGAAATATGCCTTGTTGTGATCGGGCCACCTCAATCCCCAATAATTATTTGAGTCCACCTAGATTCTTCATCTCAAATTCAGTAGCCAAGTAGTCTTGTAGCTGAGATATTTCATGTTTATTATTCCCAATAATAATCATGTCGTCAATATAGATTATTAAAGCTGTTACCTTCCCTTTCGGATGTTTCAAGAATAGAGTATGATCTAAGTTACTCTGTCGGAAACCATTGTTCTTCATTGCCTGAGAATAAACTTGGCATAAGATGCTTTATATAACTAAAAGATGGATGTCTCAATGGATGGTGCCACAACCAGATTTGCTTTTGTTTGCTATCAAAGGGATGCGTCACACTGTTAGCCATGCCGGGACCGAAGTCATTGACATAATATGGCCCCCCTCTCTTAGTACCACGACCAAGAATCACCTTAGTGTGAATATCCTGAAGTAAACAAAAACTAGGGTAAATTAGTACACAATAATGCAATTGTTTAGTAAGTTGACTAACAGACATCAATTTATTGAATAAAGATGAAAAAAGTAAAGTATTAGATAGTGAGAGAGAGGATGAGAGTGCAACAGTGCCAGCCCCTGTCACAGGATAAGTAACTTCGTTGGCGTTAGCAATACAAGTTCTTTGGGGTTGTGTAGTATTCAGAAAATCATCAGGATCAAACGTCATATGATTAGTTGCATCAGAATCAATTATCCAGCTCGTGGAATCACTCTTATCCAAAGTATGGAATCCATAACCAGTACCATTATTAGTCGTACCATGTTGTGTTCGATCTTTGAGAGTAGCCCACCATTTAGGGTAGCCATGCAATTTAAAACAAGTCTCACAAGTGTGGCTTGGATCACCACAATATGTGCAACCTCGTCCATGTATCAGGGTCGTTAGTCGGGAAGTCATAATATGTGCAGCGGAGATGCATAGGATACATGTTTAGTATGAATTTGGATCGGGATCTGAGCCTGAGTCAATGTCGGAGTCTGAGTCGAAGTCGAGATCTGGGTCTGAATCAGAGACAAATTCGAGGTCGAGGTCGAGGTCGTCATCAAAGTCGGGGTCAGGTCGTCATCGGAGTCCGGGTCGAGGTCGTTGTCATCGTAGTCGGGGTGTGGGTTGGGGTCGAGGTCGTCAAAATAGGATATTGATTCAGGATCGTGTTTAGGGTCATCAAAATAGGATCCTGATTCAGGATCGGGTTTGGGGTCAAAGTCTGCATCGTAGGAGCTGTGCCACCTGGGCACTCAACTCAGCTATGGTTGGTTGAGAAGGAGAGAAGGAGTCGGTGGTGCTACCTCCATGAGGGTTGAAAAAATCATCAACCCCCATAGCGACGGCGGAGGTTTGAAACTAGAGTCAGCAATTCCAAGATTGCCTCTCTGATACCATGCTAAAATATGAAACTTAATATGAGAATATTTGTTTGTGGAAATTATCTGTGTATTCTTCTCTTTGCAGGAGGTCATATTTATAATACAAAGGAACTTTAATGGGCAAGTAAATAATAAATTTCTATTTCTATTTATAGTAGGAAATCAGGAATTAAAGTAAATCAATTACAATTATAATAAGAATTCTTTGTGTGAAAAGAAAGTAAGTCAATGGTCCACAAGTCACGCCAACAATGTTTACTAATTCGTAATTGGATTGGGAGGAATTGAATTGAGGATAAATTGAATTGAATTAAGGAGGAGTTAGATTGAGGAGAATTAGATTCCGGATTCCTATTGAAGTTGTTTACACCATATGGATTGAGGAGAGTTAGATTCCGAATTCCTATTGAAGTTGTTTACTAAACCATATGGAATTGAGGTAGGAGTGGTATAACTACTAAAATGTCCTCATTGTTGGGTTAAAGTAGATGACCGATTTGGAACTTCTAAAATTGTGTGAGGAAATAATGAATAAAAAGATGAATTCCTAATGGGTTAGTTCTTCAGGAATTATAATACCACATCCCACTCGAGAATTGAATTCCTCCAAAATTAGGAATTCAAATCCTAATTTTGTGTGGGCCCCACTTACTTTTTAGTTCCTTGATGTGAAGTAACACATGAATTCTCCATAATTGGAATTCAATTCCTGATTAGTAAACACACTATAGTGTTTATATGTAATTAGGCTTAGGGTATGGACATCCAGGGACGGACTCGTGAATCTAATCTCACAGGGTCATAGTGTAAAAGTTCAATTTTTTTTTAAAGATTAAAAATTACATTGAACATGAAATTATAGTACGTTCATTCATAATTCATGTCAAAAACAACATTATAAATTACAATTGGCCACGATGAGGTTTCATATTGTGATGTGGTGGAAGTGGAGGCAAACTTTTGGAGGCGGCGCAGTGGTGGCAATGGAGGAGCTGGTGCTTAGAGGTTTGGTGGGAGAGAGGGTTAAAGGTTTGGGAGGAGAGGAGATTGGGGATTTAGGTTTGAGGGTTTAGAAATAGGGGTTTTGGAGTTTTGAAATCGGAAGGTCTGTTACAAATCTGTTGTAATTTTTTTTTAAAAGACCTGGACCAAAACGATGTCGTTTTGGACAGGTCTTTGAAGAAAAAAAAATTCGTTGGTGCTAGACCAAAACGACAACGTTTTGGCCAGCGAGTTTAAAAAAAAAATTCCCTAGGCTGGTCCAAAACGACGACGTTTTGGCCAGCACGTTTTGAAAAAAAAAAAAATTAACGCTGGGTCAAAACGACGCCGTTTTGGCCAGCGTGTTTAAAAAAAAATAAAATAAACACTGGACAAACGACACCGTTTTGACCAGCTAGTTTGAAAAAGAAAAAAAAGAGGAAGCGCTGTTCAACTTCTTCTTCCTCAGGTCTGCAGCATCCTCCTTCATCCATTCATGGGGTCACACAGCGATTTAAGAGGAACTTCTACCGTTGCTTTCATGTAGTCCATAAGGTTGTTTGACCCCATTAACCCCATTATGAGTTCGTCCTGTGTACATCCCACCACCTCCTTACCTAGAAGAGTAGTTGAGGCTTTGTGGGAGTTCAAGGAATATTCAACTATGAAAATAACTTTTTTAGCTGTGTCATTCATTGTACCTGCACCAAAGAAATAAGGTCCTGAACAGTGACGACAGGACTTAAAAACTATCATGTGGGTGCCCCCAAAGTTTCTGAGTGGGCCTGTCCTGTATGCCTAGTGCATGAATACTGGAACGGCCAATTTTAGATCTTTCATGCTCCACTTATACATCTCTCAACACCAGTAAATTTTTTTTAGTGGTAAAATAGTTCAGTTAAAATTACACGTGTTTAAAAATAAAAACTAGCCATCAAATTTGAATACACTGAACTCAATTGGTTTATCATTCTACACTACCACGTCACACGAACATTTCTAACAAAATTTTCTCCACAATGTGTTCATTTGAAACAAGATGATAATAATATATGCAACAGATTGCTGTCTCTTTCCTTGGCTTTAAAATGTTATCAATGTAACAGACAGGCAGAACATGCACTTTAAGTCAAGCAGAGAATTAATAGTGCACATAGCCTGTGCTCTCAGTCTCAGGTTTTAAATGCCAATCCTACGTTAAATGGTCATCGGTCATTATTTAACAACCAACCTCCCCAATTTACTAACCCATAACAAACTCCATTTATCCATATTTGGTATATTAGGAGAAAAACTTACCTACATCGGAGATATCATTGTGGCGCTATTCCGAGCCAACCACCTATTGCCATGTGTTTGAACTTTCCGACATGACAATGCAACTTTCTGACATGACAATGTTTGATAGGTTTGGAATACCGTCACAGTGTCATCCCCATTACATGTAAGTTCTTCTCGTATATCAGCCCATGGACTACTATATGCTATTTTAAAATATTAATATAAATAAAAAATAAAAGCACTATCACAGAGGTTGATATTTAAAATTTGTAAACTGAAAATTGGTGCACAATAGATAAAACAAAAATCAAGTGATAGAAGAGGGCTTGTTTGATATCAAACTTGGATCTAATTTTATAAACTCAGAAACAGATTTTAAGTCCAAAGCCATAAAATCCCGTTTGGTAGGTCCATTTATAAAAATTCAAACCCAAGAAAAACTTAAAAATATCTCCATTATTAAAAACAAAAAAAGTGAGGTTTTATAGTTTTTTTTTCTCTCTCTCTCTCTCTCTCTCTCTCTCTCTCTCTCTCTCTCTTCTCTATCTCTTCCTCCTCCCTCTCTCTCCTCCCTCTCTCCTTTTCTTTTGTTAATTTCAATTTTGGAATCTAGAGTTTCTGATTTTCTGATTTTAGTTTCAATTTTTTTAGATCTTCAAAATAGTTTGGAGTTCAATACCAAACAAGTTTTTAGATCTCAAAATCACTATTTGAAAACTCATGTTTTTAAAAAGAATAATAGTTTTTGAATTTACTTTTTTGAGTAAGATACCAAACAGGGCATAACCTTCATCTGCTTGTGCAAAAAAACCTTCTTAAGAGGCAAAACATTTTACCAAGAAAACTCATTTAACTCTTAATGGGAGCTAATTTGAATTCTCAACCTTGATTATTACATATACACATGCACAGCTCAAACTATATATCTACATCTTCTGCTAAATGATAAGATCATAACTTTGCAAATGAATCAAGAAGACTATTATTTCTTAAACCAATTAGAACCCAGAAGTGTTGAATTTTTTAACTGAACTTTTTCATGTGATTGAAACATATAAATATATAGTAACCAAAACAAACACGAAACACAAACCTGCCAAAGAATCAAGAAGGGTTGATTTGCCAGAGCCAGAAGGACCCATAATAGCCATGATCCTACCAGGCTCAGCAAACCCACTCAGCCCATCAAGCAGTCTTCTGCTGTGCCCATTCCCAAAGTTTGGAAGCACAACACTCAGATCTTCCCACACCAAATACATGCCAAGATGATGAAGATGACCAATAATATCTTCTCTTCCACCAACTGATAAATTCCTCTCTGCATCGACGCAAACACCATTATTATGATTTTCTATCTCCATAGCTAGCAAATATCCAATTCCAAATTTTGTTTGATAGAAACAGAACGCAGAGAAAGGAAAGAAGGCGGAGTGATATAAAAGGCGGGCTCTACATGAATATATTTGTTCCTGGTGTAAAATATTCCATATGGGAGTGAATAAATTTGCCAACAAATTGCAGAAAATGTTGAGAGAGAAACATGCAAGGTGGTCCTGTGCCTTTGAAGTTTTGGTCGATTGACACCTGCTTTTGGAAATGGTGAGAGAGTTACTATCGTAAGTAAGTATGTAGTAAGTGTGCTCACCAAACTACCATTAATACTTTCATAAGAGATGTCCATGACTCAGGAGAGTGAAGAAACTTGTAATAAGACGTTTTTTAAAAAAATGGCTCTTGTATTATGAGATGTACATGCACCTCTTGGAACCCTAGTCTAGCAGAAGACAAATGGATTGTGAACAAATTTATTTCAGCAAGATACCATGTATCTACTAATGGGGTGTTAGTTAGATTGGCTCAGGCTTTTGGTGTGCTCCTAGGTTGTCCCGAATTCAAACCCCACAGTACTCGTATGTGTAAGTTTCACTTTGGGGAAGAAAAAAAAAAGATGTATCATGTATCTATATGAAAAGTCAAGTTTACAGATAACACATGTTCTTTTAGCAAACAATTTGAGAAACTTGTTAATGTAAAAATGAGCAAATATCCCTTTCATAACAAAATACACTGAAAACACCGTTTTGAAGGGGGAAAAAAAATGGACTCCATTGTTATTGTACTGACTATTATTTTACCTTTTGCTAACTGTTGACAGGTGATGAGTTATTTTTGTTTTTAGTTTCTTGAAAGATTTCTCCCTAACATTAACAATTATCAGGAAACTGCACTAATAATTAGCTTGATTTCGCAGTATCATGAAATCAAATATTTGATAGAAGGGTGGTTGAGACTTTAGTTCAAATGCCAATTCCGAAGACCAAAACAGGCCCGTCATTCAAAACACAACACAATTCTGTCCACCTTGAGAAAAACATAGAGGTGGCCCATTAGATAATGGGAAGAAACGACAAAACTACCGCTACAACAGAGAAAAGTTGCACCACACTTCCTACACAGAAATATTTTTGCTCACCACTTTAACCCAAGGGTATCCTCACCATCCTTCTCAATATTTGACACATGTCCATAGGCATAACCATGATTAATTTTTTACTTGCATTTATGTAACCATGGTTATACTTATTGACACGTGTCAAGTGTTGATAATGGTGATAAGCATACATCTTGGGTTAAAGTGGTGAGCAAAAATGCTCCCCTTCATGCACACCCTTGCTCGTTTTGTTTAAGTTATCAATAATATTATTTGTACCATATTTATTGACTTTCTAAGTCAAGGTCCTGACTTTTTCTAGTCTTAGGTGGCATCACTCTTTAAATTATTTGCCCTTTTTAGTTTGAATATTAATTGTAGACTTTACTCTTGCCATTTTATTTTTAAATTTTAAAAATAAGAAAGAGAAAATGGATAACTGTATTTCATAAAAATAGGATTTATGTTGACGATATAACCTGTTTTGAGTCTTCCTCCCTCTCCTCCTCCCCTCCCTCCCCTTCTTATCCTCCCTACTCCATCTTTACTCCTTGCCTATCCCATCTAGACCCTCCGTCTTGGCTAATTTTGGTGGTTGTACGGCTGTCTTGGTGACAACGTGGTAGCAGATCGGCTCTTATTTAATTGTTTTATGTTGTAGTTCTTTTGTTTTGTTATAAGTGCATCAACTCCTCTCTAAGTTTGTTGCGTGTTTGCAGTTTCCACTTGTATTTGCACTTTTGAGAGTTAAAAGGGTTGTAGTTGTAGATTGGTGCACTGAGGTATACGTCTAGTTTTCCTAGGCTCAGCTTTCTTTAGGCCATGTGTGGCTATGAGTGAAGGTACGTACTCCTTGTGCGTTTACTATTACAAGTGGACTCATCTGTATTATTTGGATTAACCATTTGTAGTTACTGTGCTTCCGTATTTGTATTAACCTTATGTGGTTTTTTGTATTGTTCCTTGTGACAGGGCTTTAGGCATGAATTATAAATACAATCTATCACATTTCTCTATAATAAAAAAAAAGGACATATGTTCTCATTTTTTTATTATTATTTAATTTTTAGAAAATTATTAATTTATTATATTATCCTCATTCAACTTGTGGTGCGTACGCAAGGTTTGATATTCATGTCATGCCAAGCAAGAGTAGAATTGGGAACGTGGCACGGTAAACTTGTAATGGTTTCCAATTTCACATGCCCAAGTTGGCCAAGCTAGTTGCTTCATCAAGCATTATCTAACACGACCCCAAGAGAAGAGAGTAACTTCTACATGCTTTCGACCTAGGTATAAAGTTTGATCTTCTTAGCACGATCTACGAGTAGATATAGTGGTAACTTTAAGTTTGGTTGGTTTTTCATCTTCTACATGCTTTACTTGTGATATTTGGCTATTTATTGTGGATTATATGTAGAATTAGCTCTTTGGCTATAATGCTAATTGGATCTTCTGATGAGGTTCATAATTGCAGATGTTTGTTAAAATATTTTTGCTTGCAACAATATGCACTCTTTCATATGTTCTTGAAAAGTTCATTTCTTGTTGTCATATTTGTTGATTGATTTGAAGTAAGAGAAGAGAGTACCTTCTGCAGTTTGTCATTTGGAATTTGTTTGGAATATGATAAATTGAATATTGACCTTGGTGGAATGGCAAGCCTGGAGAGAAGCTACAACAGTTCAATTTCTGGTGAATTTTAAGTTTTTAGTAGGGTTTTTAACTGTAGAGGTCCTTGAACTTTACTTTTGAGGCAATTAGGTCATCCAACTCTCTCATCTGTTCCAATTGAGTCCTTCCGTCAATTTGGCTGTTAATTTGAGGGCTAAAATCGTCCATTTCAATTAAAAATATTTTAAATTTTAAAAATTGAAAAAAAAAACTGAAAAAGTGAAATAAATAAATAAATAAACTTAAAAATAAAAAATAAAAATCCAAATCCCTCCATCTCCCAACCCCACCCCCCGAAAGATGCAAAGTGTTCAAATATTTTTTTTTTCTTTTTCAAGACTCCTAGAGAATTACCAAAATACGAAGTCCTCTTCTTTACTTTTTATTTTTACTTGATTGGCAGGGTTAGGCCCTGGATTTTTTAATTTTTTGAATTTGCATAGAGAGAGAGAGAGAGAGAGAGAGAGAGAGAGGATCTGGATAGGTCTCAAGTGAGGTTGGGGTGGATCTCGGGGTGGGGACAAGGGTGGTTTTTTCAATCCTGTGGTCTTCATTGGTGGAAAGCTTGTGGGTGCTATGGACAGAGTCGTGGCCTCTCACATCAATGGCACACTGGTTCCTCTTCTCAAAGAGGCTGGGGCTCTCTGGCTCTAAAAATGGATTCTCTTCTTTCTTCAAATACTAGTTTTTTGTTCATTTTTAAGAAAGATTTAAGGAAGAGAGAAGAAGAGGAAGAAAATGACTAGGACCTAATTACATAGCAAAAAAGTACCTAATTGATGACCAACAGTAGGGCAGAGGAAGATGAGTTGCTTTTGTGAGTCCCCACTAGCTCCATTTTAGACACACTAATCACTAATGTCTCACTCACTAGCTAGCTACATTTCTCTTCTAGGTTTTGTTTTCTTACTTTCATATGGGTGTGTTGGATGAAGAAGGTGGAGTTGGGGTTGATGATGGATGTAGAACCCAAAAGGACACCTTTACCCCCTCATTTTGACAGACAAATTGACAGAGTTGGATGGTAGGACCCAATTGGGACTATTTGTTGAGTTAACGGATATAATTGCCTATAAAAAAAAGTCCGGGGACCCAATTGCAAATCGATGCAAAGTTTAGAGACGCCTTTGAAACCCTTTTTAGTAAGTTTCTTTTTCTTACTAAATTACATAGTACAATGCCGCTACCGTTGCTTGAGTATAATTGTTTTGATGCTGTTTAATTGAACCAATATTTGTTCCCCCCTTTTATTTTGGTTAAAGTTCCCTACTTTTTTTATTTCTTCTTTTTTGGTTATTTCAGAAATAAAAATACTAGGGGATTCTTCTGCAATTGATGTCTTCTCAGACCATATGGGGGTAGGGGTAAGTTTGTAAACATGGCAGTATATGTCTTTCATCAGCTTCATTCCAATGTGCAAAAGTGTGTGCATGTTAACTTATATAATGCTGCTAGAGGTTGAGTTGCATGTTAGCTTATATATGTACAGGGAGCTTCAGTTGATGGATCCCTCAAATAAATTCACTCCGTATTGTATTTCACTAATCCAAACCGTCTATTTTGTAAATACTCATTCAAAAATCATCTCTACAAAAATCCCTTGAATCTGATATCACTCAATTGAATTATTGAAATTTTAATACTTTTTTGAAGTGCCGTGTTCATTGATTTTGTAGGACACAATTGGATATCGAAATAGTTAACGATTTGTCTAATTTTTTGCAAGGATGATCTATGAATGTAGACTTAAAAAATAGATACTTTGGATCGTTGAAAAAAAATTCTTAGGGGACTCTAAAAGGTGTCCCTTAAATATATTTAAGGGATCCCTCAATAGAAGGGTACTGTATATATATAAAGTTAAATTTGTATAATGTGAAGTTATAGCTAATGTTATGAAATTATTTGTGAAAATTCCCATGTCTACACATGACTCATATTTAGATAATATTCATTTATCTTTCCCAAAATTACATAACCGAAAAAGAAAAAAAAATCATTAATTTTAAGATGTTATACATAATCACCCCAGTAAAAATAGATTGAAATTCATTAAAAATAAAATAAAATTATTGTAACCTAAAAATGTACAAATGTTATTTTTCATATATTTTCATGAAAAAGAAAGAACGCATAGACTATCTTTTTTTACAATTATCTAACCAAAAAAAATAATTTTTTTTTTTACGATTTATATTATTGTCTATCTTAATTAAAATAGGAAAGCGGTAACACTCACGTTTTTCGAATATTTTCTTTTTAAACCCTTTTTTCATGTTGGCTACGGTTTCTGTTGCTGGCAAAGCCGTTTGGGTGTGCAGCTTGAAGGAGTGTCCCAACTATCTCGTGATTGGTTCAGGCCGCAGATCTTTTTTAAGATTAT